ATGCACTTTACACAATTGATGTGTGTATGGATTGGGATAACAGTTGTATGAGCCCCTAATAAAATGTTAAAAAATAAAAAAAAATAAAACTCTCAAAAAACCCCCACAAAAACAAAACAAACAAACAAACAAAAAAACAACAAAATTTTTTTCCATGATTATTAACATACTTATAATCTAGTCATAAAATTAATTGTGAGAAAGTCCTATTACTATTTGAGGGAGTAAAATAGTACTGTTCCTGCCTTTCTCCTCATTCTCCATGGGTAGCTTGGAGCATCTTTGAAAATGGCTAGATTGATGTGTCACATATAACAGATGCATAGTAATAATAATGATGTCTGCCCATTTTACACTTACTGAACCTGTACTGTGTGCCTTCACATTAGAATTTTACCATCCCTATTTTATATGTGAGAAAAATGATCTGTTTAAAAGTGACTTTACATGATATGACCCATGTGACATAGAAGTGGAATTTGAGCTTCAGTGCTGTCATGCTTGCTTTACCACATTTGCATGATTGTGGACAGGCTTTTCTTGGTAGCTCATCTACGACGTTCTGATGTGTGGGTACTATGAAGTGCACGTGTTTGACTGGGTTGGGGTCCAGGATAGCAATATGGATTTGTTTAGCAAGAACATTGATTTAATCATTTAAGTAGTAACACCACTTCCGTACAATTAATTTTCTGACTTACATTATTTTCATTGTTAGTCATTAAAAATATGAATGGTTCTTAGGTCTGCGTAATCAGAAAGAGGCTTATTTTAAACTGAAAGCATGAAGGCAAATAATGAAGAGATTGTAAAATACTAAATCAGAAATAGAAATGATACTAACTTTAAATGGAAACAATGGTGCTAATAATCCCTCCTAAAAGCCATGTCAAATCATCCTTCCTTTTGGAGTATTCCTAAGATGAGGTGGGCCAAAGTTGTACTTCTCCAAGCACACATAGTCATTATTCCCTTTATTTCTCGAGTTATAAGAAAATTTAAAATATGTTTTTCTTAAATGTATACAAGAACAAAGCTCAACAGTTGAGACATTATTATAGGTACTGTAAGCACTTCCAAGGAATGGCCTTATATTTGCAAAATCAATTTATTTCAGCCAGTTTTAGTCTTTAAAAGTTGTTACTGTTCTGGGCATTTGTTTTCCTGGAGTCTAGTCCACACTTTGTATACATCCTGTTGTCATCGAATCAGTATGAGGTCCACAATTTGATGAGACATAAAATAAAATAAAAACAAAAAGAGCAAGCACACTGCCTGCCGTACTGCTGCCGAGCTCACTTCGACGCATTGAAGTAGCCTGTGAGACAGAACTGCCCCATAGGGCTCCCAGGACTGTAATTCCCGATGGAAGCAGACCAGCTCATCTTTCTTCTAAGGATCCAGTTGCTGATCCTTCTGTTAACAGCTCAGCACTTAACCTGCAGCCTGAACAATAGAAAGTAGCCTCCATGTCTTTTTGTCCAAGGCCCTGGCTGTTACCAGCAGAGTATTTTCTCTTTTAGGAACCTTAGTTGTTTTGTCTTGTTTGTTGCTTTCTCTATCCCACAAATACGCACATTTTTGTGTGCATTTCTAATTTCTAAAACTCTGCAATAAAAATTATATTCTGCAACAGTAAAAATAATTTATTATGCTTTAACAACTTTATTGTTTTAGTTTCATATTTATGCTAAAATAGTTCTAAAATTGTTTTCATGACATACAATTCTAAGAGGAAAATGAAATGTTTTATTTATTTATAATCATTTTATTGGGGCTCTTACAACTCTTGTTACAATCCAGACATCAATTGTAGCCGACATACATGTAGTCCATCACTCTCTCCTAGACATTTACTTTCCATTGAGCTCTGGAGCAGATTGTTTTTAAAAGTATTCTAGAGTTTTAAAAATTCCTTCACTCCGCTAATAACTATTATATTACCAGTATCAGCATTAATTTAACATCAACTAATCAACTGTATGATAAACAATGAACAATTCAATGAACTATAAAGTTGTATTTGAATATTATGGCTCAAAACGATCATTTTATCTATCTATCTATCTATCTATCTATCTATCTATCTATCTATCTATCTATCATCTATCTATCTATCTATCTATCTATCTATCTATTTATTTAAATCATTTTATCGGGGGCTCGTACAACTCTTACCACAATCCATCCATCCATTCATTGTGTCAAGCACATTTGTTCATTTGTTGTCCGTATAATTATTTTAAATAAAAGCTTTTTGGCTGGTAAATATAAAAATTTCTAGGTCCTGGTGTGAATTTCCAGAGTTGTAAACTTGCATAAATGATTCATACTCTATTCATACTCATAATGTTAAAAGATATATTTAAAATGGCCTAATTTTTTATCTTCTTTTAAAAAATAATTTTATTGAGGGCTCTTACAGCTCTTATCACAATCCATACATACATCCACTGTGTCAAGCACATTTGTACATATGTTGCCATCATCATTTTCAAAACATTTTCTTTCCACTTGAGCCCTTGAATCAGCTCCTCATTTTCTCCCGCTCCCCTGGCCTAATTTTTTTTAATGAATGGCAACACAAATGGAATCTGGTAATCGTTTCATATTTTAAGTGCTTCATAGGTTAGGTGGCATTTAGGTTTTATCCAGAAGTATGAGTTTAATACACATATACCCATACTTTTGCAACTATGTTAGCAACCAGACTGCTTGAGTCTGATTCCTGGACCTTTCCCTAAGAACCGTGTGAACCTGGGCAGCTCTTAACTCTCGCCATTTCAATTTCATTATCTATAAAATAAGAGATAATTGTACCTATTTCACAAGATTGTTGCATTTCATCATGGAAGAAACTATAGCGTACTGCATAGCGTGTTACTCATTAGGCTGCTAATCATAAGGTTGGCAGAGCAAACCCACCAGCTCTGAGGGAGAATGAAGAAGCTGTCTGTTTCCATAAAGAGTCACCTTCGTGGGATCCTAGGGCTGAGTTTGCTCTGCCGCAGAGGGGTTTCCTGGGAGTCAGAAATGGACCCCTGGCTGTGGGTTTGACGTTTGGACAGAGGACGAAAGCGGCGGTGTTTCTGAGTCATCACAATAGCTTAGTGAACTTCAGTTACATCGGTGTTGTGGGTGTTGCAGTTGAGTTGGTTCTGGTCCATAGTGACCTTATGCACAACTGAACGAAACACAGCCCGGCCCGGGCCACCCTCACCGTGTTCCCATGCCTGAGCCCAGTGCTGCCCACACGGTCAGCCCATCTCCGCGAGGGCCTTCCTCTTTTCCCCTGACTCTGCTGTACCAAACTTGATGTCTTTCTCCCAGGACTGGTCTCTCCTGATTCCCATGTCCCAAGCATGTAAGACAAAGTCTCATAGGCTTACCTCTCAGGAGCACTCTGGCCATACTTCTTCCCAGACAGATCAGCTTGTCTTTTTAGTAGTCCTGGTACAATCACCGTTCTTCTCCAGCACCACAATTCAAATCCAGCAGTGCTGCTTTTGTCTGTATTCAATGCCCAACTTTCCCATGCTTTGGAGGCAATTGAAAATCCCATAGCCTGTGTCAGGCACACCTTAGTCCTCCAAGTATGGCCTCTTCTAGTCAGTTGGCCAAGAAGCTGTCTTCTAAATTTCCTGGCAGCGATGAGAGAGCGCTTCCAGTGCTTCATCAGCTTCTTGAAACATGGTGAAATAGCCACTAGTTCTTTTGGCACAATGACTCTTATGTATTCTCTCCGTCATCTTTTGAAACTTTATGCATCATCATATATATATTTATATATATATATTATTTCATTTTTTATTTAATCCTTTTATTGGGCGGGCTCTTACAAATCGTCTGACAATCCATTATTCAGCTGTATTAAGCACACTTGTGCATATGTTACCATCAACATTTCCGAAACATTTTCTTTCTACTTGAGCCCCCCCACATCAGTCAGTATTTTGCCCATAGAACTTCTCAGTATTGCAACTCAAGGCCTTCCTTTTTTTCTTGAGTTCTTTCCATTTCAGAGATGTTGCGTGTGTTCTTCCTTTGGGTTTTCTCATTTAAGTCTTAGCACATTTCATTATCATATTTGGCTTTGTCATCTCACGAGCTGCCTTTTGAAATTTCCTATTCTTGACTTCATCCATTTGCTTTAGCTACTCTAAGATTCAGAACAAGTTTTTGTGATCTCTGCTTTGATCTTTTCTTTCTTTTCTGTCGTTTGAATGACCTCTTGCTTTCTTTATGAATGCTCTCATTGTGTCCTCCCACAGCCGATCAAGCCTCTGTTATTAGCGCTCAGTGCATTACATCTGTCCCTGAGATGTTCTCAGAATCCAGGTGGGATAGACTCGGGTTGCATTTTGGCTCCTGTGGACTGGTTTTCATTTTCTGCAGCTTTATCCTGAACGTTCCTATGAGCAACTGATGATCTGTCCCACAGTCAGTCCTTGGCTTGGTTTTAGCTGCTGGGTTTTTTTTTAGCTTTTCCAGTGTCTTTTCCCACACACATAGTCAATTTGATTTCTATGTATCATCTCTGGAAAATTCACCTTTTGTGTTTTTTTAAAAAACATATTGGCTATGAACAAGTCTGTGGTTTACAAAATTCTCTCGTGCGCTCTCCAGCCTTGTTTCTATCATCAAGCCCGTATTACCCAATTACTGTTCCTTCCTCGGTTGTCAACTTTTGCATTCCATTCACTGTTAGTTATCAATGCATCTTGATTGCATGTTTGTCAGCTTCTGACTGAACTCATTGGTAGAGTTCTTTAATTTCTTCATCACTAGCTCTTGTGGTTGATGCATAAATTTGCATAATAGATGTATTGATTAGCTTTCCTCGAAGGCGAACAGATGTAATGCTGTCACAGACAGCGTTTACTCCATGATTGATTTCGCAGTGTCCTCTCTAACAATGAGTGCCATGCCATTCCTCTTGATTGTATTATGCAGGCCTAATAATTAATGCATTTTTGGATCTGTCAGTCCATTTCAACTGTCTTAATGCCTAGAATATAGATCTTTATATGTTCCATTTCATTTTCTACTACTTGCAATTTTCCTAGATTCATACTTCTTGCATTCCGATTTCTGATCATTAGCAGATTTTGGCAGCGGCTTCTCCTTACCTTGAGTTGTGCCCATCAGCAAGTGGACATGCCAAAGGCTTCCCTCACACAGGCTTTACCTTCTGCAAGTCAGCATCGTGACTTCACTCCTAGAAGTCAGCTCCCCTCAGCCACAGATTGAGTGCCCTGGGGTCTGAGGCCCACTGTTCGGCACTGTCTCTGACAATGTTCAGCTGCCATGCATTAGGCCTTCGGTAACTGACAGTGTTTTGAAGCTGTGCATTAAGTTCCTTCCTCTGAGGTTTGGAGCCGAGTCCTCTGTTGTTTTTTTAAACATTAAAATAAGTAGTATATACTTAATTAATGCATTTAAGTACATATGCAAGATAAGAGAAAACACCACGAAAGTATAACATATTAAGAAAAAGAGAACTTGCAATCCTAGTTGGAAAACATCAGTTAAACATGTGTAATTATTGGGATTATATTTTATGAACTAAAAACTGTCAGAGTCAACTGTGTAAATATGTTAAACTGATTTTCATTATATATTTTTTAAATTCTCAGGCAGAAAAGGCTAGCTTGGCTCATTTGTTGGATTTCCTAGGAATGATTTTTCTTACCATGATTTGGGCCATTTGTCCTCGAGATAGCTTGGCGCTTTTGGGCCAGTGGATACAATCCAAATTGCAGGAGGTAAGTGGGAAACAGTATCAGAGGTGCAGCCACCTTTTGTGCATGAGCTATTGGCCCTAAGGTTCAGTGTCTTATGTTTTCTAATTTTTTGTTTTCTTTTCTCATTATTAGGGATAGTTCTACATATGAGAATTCAGATTAAGACTTAATGGATATATTGAATTACATGTGGATTATGTCCCAATAAAAAATAGATATGAATGGATTAGAAGGGCTTGTAACTTTTTGTCAGTACATTTTGCGGGACAAAGTTCAGTCATACCGGGCAGAAAAGCCAATTGCTGGCCCTTCCTATTTCCTCTGTCACTGCGCCTTCCTGCTTGCTCTTCTCCTTCCCAGAGGGACCGTGGTGGACAGAGGGACCGTGGTGGACTGAGGGACCGTGGTGGACAGAGGGACCGTGGTGGACAGAGGGACTGTGGTGTACAGCCATTGGAATGGATCATCCCTCTCGAAAATGTTTCTATTTTATGGGGCGGGGGG